CCCTCCTCTCTCCACCTCCCTTCCCCCGCCCCCCCCTGTCTCCTATTCCCTCTGCAGGAGGCCATGATGGATTTCTTCAACGCCCAGATGCGCCTTGGGGGGCTGACCCAGGCCCCTGGCAACCCTGTCTTGGCTGTGCAGATTAACCAGGACAAGAACTTTGCTTTCTTGGAGGTGAGCTGGGTGCACAGTGGGCTCAGGGAAGTGTGTGTTCCTCCTGGTCCCTGTGGCTCTGTAGCCGCTCTTGTTTGCCCTAGGCCCTTTTGCGGGCTGTTGTCTGCTGGGTTCCCTGACCCTCACCACCCGCTTCTCTTGCAGTTTCGCTCCGTGGATGAGACCACCCAGGCCATGGCTTTTGATGGCATCATCTTCCAAGGCCAGTCGCTGAAGATCCGCAGGCCTCATGACTACCAGCCCCTGCCTGGCATGTCGGAGAACCCCTCTGTCTACGTGCCTGGTGAGTGGGGGACTCGTCCGCCCTTCTCTCCCCAACCCAGCTAGAGCTGCTTGGGAAGTGGTGTGAGTGCTTCTCATCCATTTCCCCAAACCTTTAGAGCTTGGTGTCCTCCCCGCTTGAGGATGCACAGCTCATAAGTGGCAGAGCCAGGGGCGTGGGAGGCGTCGAGGGAGGTGAGGGGCTTGCAGCCTGCCTGTCGTTCCTTTTCTGGGACCTGGGAAGTCAGTGTGAACACAAGCAGGTCAGCGGTTTGCAATTGAGTTCCCAGTGTGAGGTCGGCATCTGGGTGTTCCCTCCTATTTTGGTCCTAGTTTCTCTTCAGTCTCATGCTCCGGGCCGTGCCCCATAGCTGTGTCCGGTCCTGGTCAGTAGAGAGCACGGCAGACCTGGGGCAGCAAGCTTATTCTGCAGAGGGTCGGAGAGTGAATGTTTTTGGTTTCGTGAGCTGTACGTTTTGGTCACGACTGTTCTGTGGCGATGGTGTAGTCTGCACGCAGCCTCCTGTGATACCTAATTGAACGGGTCTGGCTGTGCGCCACATCCTTTATCAGTTACGCTCGGCAACGTTTTGGTTTCGTAAAATACCCACGGGTCCTGCAGTAGCGGGAAGTACAGAAACAGACAGCAGGCCTGACTCGACCTCCAGGCTGTTTGCGGGCCCCTGTGGGCAGACGGGTGTAAGTGAGAATTGGGGCCTCTGTGGGAGTGTTGTGGGATTGGGGGAGCCAGTTCTGTCATCTCAGGTCCCTGGAGTTCTCCCAGGAAAGGTGGGTGAGCACTGGTGCTTTGGGTGGGGAGCAAAGCTGGCCGAGGCTTTGCACCGAAGGACACCTTTTAGAAATTGAGTCCACCCTTGGCAGAGTCAGGGACGTGGAGTCCCAGGGAGGCTGGCAGGCGCCTCAGGACTGGAGGCTGGTTCCCCAGCTTGTCTCCAGTGTCTTCCGCTGTAATAATTTGGTAAATTCAGTGGATTTCTTTAATTCTTTCAAGAAACGACGCGTGACACATGCTGACGCACTCTAAATGCACAGCCTGATGACCTTCTTTTTGTGCACGCATCCGTGGGACCGTTTCCCAGGTGGAGCTATGGAATATTGTTTTTTGTTAAGTAAAGTCAGGATGTTATATTTTTATAACTGGTTGCTGGAGCCTGCTGCGTCAGGCTCTGCCCCAAGTGGGCTGTGGATCATGTTAATATTTGTGACAACCCTACAGTAAGTACATGGTCAGCAGGTGACAGGTAGGAGGCCACACGTAGTTTTCTGTTTGTTTCTTTAAAGTGGGCTCCTGGGGCACCTGGGTGGCTCAGTCGGTTGAGCATCTGACTTTGGCTCAGGTCATGATCTCAACGGTCCGTGAGTTCGAGCCCCACGTTGGGCTCTGTGCAGAGCCTGGAGCCTGCTTTGGATCCTGTGTCTCTTTCTCTGCCCCTCCCCAACTCTCGATCTGTCTTTATCAAAAAAAAAATAAATACTAACAAGGAAAAAAATTTTTAAGTGGGCTTCAAACCCAACGTGGAGCACAAACTCATGCACCTGAAATCAAGAGGCACATGCTCTACCAACTGAGCTAGCCAGGTGCCCCCTGCCTGTTTTTTAACGATTTATTGGCACATAGCCTAGCCCACTCATTGCTTATTATCTGTGTTTTTGTGTTGGAGTGGCCAAGTTGGGTGACAGAGATCCTGTGTCAGGACTGTGTGACAGACTGAAAATATTTGCCGCCTGGTTTTTCATTGAAAGGTTTGCCTGCTGCCATTGTGGAGACTGTGAGCCCATCTCAGAAGGCCAGCAAGGCAAGGGCACGATTAGTGGTCTCCCAGGGGACCTGGCTCGTGTCCAGAGTCGTCACTCTGCCATCTTCTTGTGCTGCCTTCTGCTCGTGTCCTTCACCCTGTGGGAGTGGACATGTCCCATCCAGGGACAGCGGCTCGGGGTGGTCTTCCCCTTGATGGAGGGGCTGTTGCTGTGATTAAACAGCTGAAGGGTCACTCGTGGATCTTCTCACATGAGGTTTGCCTGTCCAGAGGGGCCTGGGCAGGTAGTGGGATGTCGCAGGAAGTGTGAATCTGTCTTCAGGTTAAGCATCCTCTGCTCGGGCTTTTTCCATGGTGAAGTTCACGTTTTGATCTTTGCTTTTCAGAAAAAAGTAAGTCAATCTTACTATACAAAGAGGCTAAAGGGGAAAGTGTTTGATAAAGTTCAGGTATTTGTGGTTGGAAGAGAAACAATTCAGTAACCTGGAAAGTGACTTCCTTGTCTTGATGGAATCGTGTTGACTTGAAAGTAAATATGCATCACCTGGAGTCATGAAACCTTAAATTCTTTTCCACCAAAGTCCGGCCCAGCTGTTCAGTGCTGATGTGGGGGTCCTGACTGTCCTTTAAGATAAGAAGGGGGGAGGCAGGGAGAGCCAGAGCTGTCTTTGGAGGCAGGAAAGCACAGAACCCTTTGAGTTTGTGAATTTAGTTTGGCCCTCCACACCTTCCCGCTGCCAGGCTTTGTGCTTGGTGCTCTCCCCCACTGGACTCCTGCCAGTGGGGCTTCGCCTCTGCACCTGCTCCCTCAGCAGGGCCCTGCTCTGCCAGGCTCTGCGGTTAGCGCATGTAGCAGGGTCCCTCTGCTGAGGAGGAAGTGCACGAGAAAGGATTGCTTGGTCGTTGGGGGTACAGCATGGCCTTTGGGAGGAGGTGAGGCTTCAAGGTTGAGGATGAGAGGGGAGTGCCCCGTGGCCCCTTTGAGGGAAGAGGTTGTGTGATCAGGGAGGAGTCTGCCCATTGTGTTGGGAGGGGATGTTGCCGAGGGCTTGATTTTGGGCACCAGGACTGACCTGGGCTCCCAGTTTGCATCACCCTCGCGTGAGTCCTTCTGCCCAGCTGCAGAACTATTGTCCACACGGGATCTGCAGCCACTGGGGCCTTGGCATCTCGCTGGTCCTGGCCAGCCTTGCCTCAGGCCCCGTTTTAGGTGTGGGCCTTGTGAGTCATTCTCTGTTGTAGGTGTGAGGTTTCTCCTTGGTTCACAGATGAGAACACTGAGGCTCAGGGAGGCTCACTTGGGGCTGCATCCTGGGTTTGAGCCTCCGTCCCCGATGCCCTCGGCACTGTGTGCTTCCCTGGGGTGCCTGGCACAGCCTGGGCCTGATGGCTGAGGCGCCCCTGGCTCTGGCACTGCCCTGTTGGGGTGATGAGACTCCTGCCCGTGTGCTTGTCTGCCGTCGGTCAGAGCGGTGGTGCCTGTGTAGGCATAGCCCGTAGCTTGCTGAGAGCTACCTGTGGGGTCGTGATTGATGGGGGCGGGGGGCGGGTGCTTGGAGGCCCCTCTTTCTGTCTGGGCGACTGCAGGGGACTAACTCCTTCCTGTGCCTTAGTCTGTTGTGTCTTGCTGCGATACGGCTTTGGAGAGCATCAAGGCATCGGGTTTCACGAGTTTGATGTGCAGGGCCTGGCCTGTGGCCTCTGCTTATCCTTCTTCGGACACCCTGGTGGTGCTCGGCTCTGGTGGTCAGAGTGGCTGGGGTGGTGGGAGAGGGCATACCCTGCTTTGGGTCTGAGGCCCCCCTGTCCCTCCCCAGGTCAGGAGGAAGTGGGGCGCAGCCACTTGGTGCGGACTGCAGAGGAGGGCCAGGTCATGCAGCCATTGAGGGAGGGTCTGGACTTGGAAAGTCAGGAACCGGTCAGGCTGGGTGGGTGGTGTTTCCCTTCCTTCGAGCCCTGGGTAGCTCACACCTGATGGGAGCCTCTGGGAGGTGTTAGGACCCTGGGCTGAGCCACCTGGCAGGCCCCTGAATCCAAAGACGAGTGGAGACGGTAGGGTTGGGGTAGATGCAGAGTGGTCGTTAAAGGCACTCTGCTGGTGTGACTGCACTGTGACAGCCCTCCTGGGCTCCAGGGTCTGGGTACTGAGTGAACTGGGCACGTCCCTGCCCTCGTGGACCCTGGACCCTGAGCAGCAGGCCTCTCCGAGGCACTCCCTGGTCTGCTGTGTGTGACAGTGCCGGGCTGTTGTAGTCGTGAAATGTGCAGGACCACAGAGGAAGGGACCGAGGGTCAGCCCGAGACCTGAGCTAGACATCGGGTGGTAGGGAAGGGGGTGGAGCTGTGGCCTGAGAGATGTGGAAGGGGGGTGGGTGTGCCCGTGGGATGAGCGCAGACATGACCTGCCGTGGTTGGCGGGTTTGGGACATGAGCTTGCGTCTTTGGGGCTCCCACCGGGGCTCTCTGCTGTCGTGCCGCCATGCGCCCCAAGGAGAGCTGCTATTGGGGCGCTCGGAGGCTGGGCAGGTTTGGGAGACCCGTTTGTGTCAGCCGTGGCTGGGCTGCTATGCCTGGGGTAAGCTTGTGGATGGCGGGATGTGGACCTGTTGTTACCACAGCAGGCGTAATGGGCCTGTCCCTGTGTGCTGGGTAAAGCTCCTGCCTTGGGGACCAAAGCCTACTTACTCCCCTTTTCCCCCAGGAGTTGTGTCCACCGTGGTCCCGGACTCTGCCCACAAGCTGTTCATCGGGGGCTTACCCAATTACCTGAATGATGACCAGGTAGACCCCTCGCCTCCTCCTGACTGCTCCCCTCCCAGGCTTTACCCAAACCAGCCCTGACAGAGTTGCGGCCCTGTCTCAGGTAAAAGAGCTGCTGACATCGTTCGGGCCTCTCAAGGCCTTCAACCTGGTCAAGGACAGTGCCACGGGGCTCTCCAAGGGCTATGCCTTCTGTGAGTACGTGGACATCAACGTTACAGATCAGGTGAGCCCCGGGCCCTTGGTGCTGCTGCGTCCGTCCTTGCCCTGCACCTTGCTCTGTGTCCACACTGGTCTCCCCTCCTCTGGATGGGCGGGAGGAGGCCGGCCTGCAGTGGGGCCCTGCGTGGGGGACTTGAGCCCTTTCCCTCGGTTCTGGCTCTTTCCAAGCTCTGACCCCTTTGCCTTCCCCTCTCCCCCACCAATGCCCGGCTCTGGGGTATTGGGGCTTGTGGGGAGGTGTCAAGCTCCTGGCCCCTAACCCGCACCTCTTCGCCGCACCCCCCCCCCCACCCCTCACCCTTCAAACACAGGCCATCGCAGGGCTGAACGGGATGCAGCTGGGGGATAAGAAACTGCTCGTGCAGAGGGCAAGTGTGGGAGCCAAGAATGCCACGCTGGTGAGCCCCCCGGCACGTCATTTTCCATTGGCTAGAGGGACACCTGGGGGTGGGGTGGGGTGGGTGGGGTGGGTGGGGCTGGGAGGAGGTCCTTCTAAGTCTTTGGCTCTGGCTTTTTGGTGGTGCTGAGTGGGCACCTGAGCCTTACAGGGGCAGGGCCTGGTTTTCCCTGGGTAGGCCTCTGGGCAGCTGGTGTGGCCTTGGCTGTGACTGCTCTGCCCTTTGCCCCACAGAGCACCATCAACCAGACCCCCGTGACCCTGCAAGTGCCAGGCCTGATGAGCTCCCAGGTGCAGATGGGCGGCCACCCGACTGAGGTCCTGTGCCTCATGAACATGGTGCTGCCTGAGGAGCTGCTGGACGACGAGGAGTACGAGGAGATAGTGGAGGACGTGCGGGATGAGTGCAGCAAGTATGGGCTCGTCAAGTCCATTGAGATCCCCCGGCCTGTGGATGGTGTCGAGGTGCCCGGCTGTGGAAAGGTGCGTGCGTGCCCACCCTTCCCCTCACCTTTCCCCGCATGCTGCGTTGTCCCCAGGAGTGTGGCCCCGCAACTGTCGTAGCTTCGGTCTGTCTCATGACCTCTCGCAAGTGGTTTGGTCTTGTCTGTGCAGTGGGGAGAAAAGTGCTGACCATTGGTCTCAATGGCAGCAAGCACGCTTGTGTCTCCCGGGTGCCAGGTACTCACTAAGCTGCCCTGTGTGACTCTGGACTCCCACAGCAGCCTTCTGGGCCCTACCTCAGAGGACACAGGCCATACAGTCACATTTCCCAGCCCGCTGAGGCATGTCACTTCTGGCCCCCTGCCAGGAGTCTGCACCTTCCGCTCTCCTTGGGAGGCATGAAAGAGGGGGTGACTTAGGTTCATCCAGCCACTCACCTAGTGATTCAGGCTTTAGCTGGCCAAGTCCTGGGGCCAGCCTTGTCAGACAACACATCTGCCACCTTAGGTGGTACCTGGGAAGGGAGGAGGAATGCTCTGGATGCAGTGTTGAGATTGGAGGCCAAGAGGCGGTATTAAGCAGGCCCAAGTGACACCAGGTTATCCCAGCAGGCAGGTAGGGTCCTGGCCAGGGAGCCCAGTGAGCATAGATCTCCTGGTATCTTTGGGGACAGTGACCAGGCTGGTGTAGCCTGAGCAGAATAAAGCAGATGGGATTGGGGGCTGAGGCCCAGGGTGGCAAATCAGCCCCAGAGCAATGTTGGGTGTTCTCTGCAGTGAGCAGGAAGCCTTTGAAAGGTCCCAACTGTGGTCTGTGGCCTGGCACATGGAGACGGTTCGTTAGAATAAGGTAGGGGTGGCCAGGGATTACAGAGCTGGTATCTCCTCTACCCTGCAGGGCTGGACTCCGCAGCCTGGGAATTTGGAGGGGGCAGAGGGGATAGTGGTAAGATCTCTGGAGCTTTGGCAACTAACAGCTTGTGATCAGCTCGGAGAAAGATGGTGATCAGGCGGACGGAGAGAAATAAGTCCGTGGATTTGAGAAACACATCACCTGTAAATGCTCACTGATTTGAGTTTTATGCTGCAGGGGGAAGAGGAGTCCAGTAAAATGCTCAGACTTGTGGCTTTGGTGATTGGGTGGAACTGGCAGATGAGAAGGAAGCGAGGGAGTTGAGCAGGTTTGTGGGGGAGGGAGTCAGTGTCGATGGGCAGGTTGACACCTCAGCAGAGATGTGTAGGAAGCCGTGAGCAGGACAGAGCTGCGTCCCAGGCATGAGGTCTGATAGAAGTGTAGGTGTCGTCAACATACTGACCCCTGTTTTGGTGTCAGCTGGATGAACTTGCCCAGGAAGCAGTGGAAAGAGCATCGGGGGCCAAGGGACGACAGGGCATGGGTGAGGGGAGGGGGCGGATGGGCATTATGTCCTCTCCCATTTTCCTGCGCAGTCCTCACTGTGTGGCAGAAACACCCACTCCCCGCATGTCCTTTGCAGTCAGTGCTATGACGGAGGCTGGAATGGAGGCTGGCTCTTGAGGGGCGGAGTAAATACTTGTGGGAAGGATGAATGGGAAGACCTGGCTGGTCTCTGGGATCATCCTGCCTCTTTTGTTTTGAAACTTTTCATTCTTTTCAAACATTTGTAAGAGTAGAGTTATCGTAGTGGTGTATTACAGTACATCATTTAAGTTGTATTGAGCATACATAGCAGCGTTGTGATGCCCCATCACCCAGCTTCAGGTTATCCATATCTAGTCATTCTTAATTTCTATATTTAGCTTCCCAGTTTCCCTTTTTTTTCTTAAAATCATTTAAAGCAGATTTCCAAATTTTACCTGTGACAAACAAGGGCGTTTCTATAATATCTGAACTTATTAATATTTGGGGCCTGGTAAAACTTGCTTTGGGTTTTGTGCTGTGTGCTTTTTGGATGTTAAGCTCCATTCCCAGCCTCCACCCAGTAAATGGAAGCACCTCCTAGATGGTAGCATCGGATCCCCCTTTGTGACCACCAAAAACGTCTCCAGACATTGCAGAATGTCGCCTGGGGACACACAAGCTGGTTTGGAGAAGTGCTGCTCTAAACGTTTTAACAGATCATTTCTAAAAAAAATCTTAATGAAGCTACAATACTGTTATTACAGTAACAAAATTATCCCGAGGATGTATTTAAGTTTGTGTTCAGATTTCCTTTACGTTTCAAAAGACTTTTATATTGTTTAAGGATCCATGCCATTTTGTTTAATAAAACTTTATCGAAATTTATCAGTTCTACATAATTGTCTCTGCCCCCCCTCCCCCAGCCATTTTGTTGAAGCAATAGGTCAGATTTGTATTCACAGAATCCCATATTGAGAATTAGGCTGGTATTATCCTCTCCCTCCCTCCACTTCCTGTCAACTGGTGGTTTAAACAAGATGAGAAACTTCATTGGGTCAAATATCTGGGATTTTTTTTTTTTTTTTTTTTTTTTTT